ACTGAACACAGAAGGTTTCATCTTACCTTACTAGTTTGAAGTGATGTAACATGAAGAATAGTTTATTGACCTTACTGCCTCTTACAACACAAATAGCACTGATGCAGCCATTCTGATATAGCTCTCACAGGCTTATTGTTTGAGATGTGCATTTACTAATTGACATGACGATATCATCATCTGTTGGTTTTTTTTTGTTTCTGGATCTTTTAAACAGGAATGTGGAAGGCACAGAACTCACGATGCTAAGAAAGAATATAGCTCAATTAAACAGTCAGCATGAGTAGAGCATGATATGGCCAGGCATGGATAAGGGAGTACTTTTTATTAAAAATGGTTAGATTACATGCACCCATGTTGCCAAAACAGTTCAGATTGTGAACATAAAATTACATTGTTCTGTTATTTTCTGGCTGTCATAAAGAGCATTAGCCTGTGGTCTGCAGATAAGCATCTTCATTCCTGTAATGTTTCCCCCTTTTTGGCTGGGTTTCACAATTAATAATGAAAAAACAAGTGCCACCCAGGACTGGGGACCTTTTAGTTTGCTATTATTAAAAATCATAATTGCGCTGGATATGTCAGTAACAGAATAAGAATAACCAGGTAGTTATTAACTTTTATTTCTTAACCACACAACACATAATGGAGTGAACTGGATAAAATGATAATGATGAGTTGAGTGAAGGAAACTAAGATGGAAAATGCAAGGTCATGTCTCTAAGGCTAAATAGGAGGCAGGATAATTAAAGTGTGATTAATGATTGTGTCTATTTGATCGTTAGTGTAATATACAGCAAATGTGTTGATTTGTTTGTGCCAAACCCTTTGGAGCAAATAAAAAATGAGTATCAGCAGCATGTTGTCCTCCTACCATTGATTTCATAAATACATTTTTTACACTCTGGTTTTCCAAGACACGTTCCTGACAATTATTAACTGGATGTCACTGGCAGATGTCTGAAAAGGGAGGCAAATTTCAGTTTGGAAATTAAATTACTTGGTTTGATAACATTATTCCTCGGGCAGTAAAAACAAAAATGCAGGAAAAAACTGTAAGTGTAATGTTGTGCTATTTATGAAATCTAATTTTGTGCATCTGTAAAAACAAAATGTCCATCTCTATCTTTTCTTTCAGGTGTTCACAGGATTTAATTTTTACTTTTCGTTAAAAAGACTTAACGAAATTAAAAATACCAAAACAAAAAAATATTTTTTGTGGCAAAAGCACTTGAGAGTCCAGTTACCAGGAGAAACTAAAACTAATCCCCTTACTTTGAAAACTGTCTGTGGCAGAAACCATATATAATGTGGTATAAAACTGAATAGTGTTTTAGCTTTAAATTTACAATATGTCACTTTCAAACAATTGTGTTCTTGCTTGTTGATTTTATGTTCAAGACTTGCAAGCTGAATTACTGTTTCTGACCTTACATAATAGAGCAGAAAGACAATCTTCTGGGACTGGTGTTCAGTGGATAAGATGACAGTGTATTAATGAAATTCCTCAGGGTTTGAAGGTAACTATGTGAACATGCATGTTTTCATTTCTAAAGGTTTCTAAACATTCTACTGTACAGTAACTACAATGTGTTTAGTGGATATATTTGGGTATCTATTCCTGATCCCTTCCCCCACTTCCTGCCTGTCCTTCTGTTTCCTGTGTGTCCAGTTGCCAAGGGAACCCATCCAATTGGCTGGCAGGAGAGCAGTGGGTGGATCATTGTATTATAGAATGAAAATAGTGCATCACAGATATGGAAGGTTTCTGGGACTCTATTCTGAGTTACTGCATCTGCCTCCAAGTCTGGAAACTGAGAGTTTCAGTAGGAAAATAGAAAAGGCCTACACATTACAAACCTATACCTAGAACACCTTTATCAATTAATGGTATTTCTTTATCTCTTGTAATTAACATTTCTAGAGGACTGCACCAGAGACTCAATGCACATTTTGAGCCAAAGTATACACAATTACATTGAAAATATGCTTGTATATTCTGTATGAACTGTATATACAGTATATCCATATATTGTAAATGACACTTAGACCACTTGTAGCTGCTTCAGAAGGAAGAAGAGCTAGAGGAACAGAAAATGACATGGATGCATTTAGAAATAAATATTATCATTGGCTGTAGGGGTTTATTAGAAAAAATCTAATAAACATCGCACCATTTGAAACTCATAAAAAATTATATGCACTTTATAAAATACCTCAAGAATTGGAATTTTGAAAAAACAGTTTAAAATAATACCTAATTTGTTTGATTGCTTGAAATATCTTTGTCCAAGCTTCAGATAAGATCACATTATTAGCTATATACAATTTCTTGTATTAGGAATTTGTCTTTTTCACATACCCCAACTTGTTCTCCATGAGACACACAGACAAGGAGAGAAGCTCCTTGTATCCTTTGCTGAACGCGGGATACAAACCGGCAACCTTCCTGCCACAGGTCCAGATCCTTAGCCACAGAGCCACCACAATGCCTTTACGGATATGATGTGCATTTACAATAGGATAACAAAAAGAACATCAAAAAGCTCTAAACCCAATGAACAGTACTGGTGTATGGAACGTTAATTTGATCTGTTCTTAAGCATCAGGATTGGCAGTTTTTAGTTGTGAACAAAACTAGCACAATGAGGGTAAGCATCTATCCATTTTCTAACTGCTTTATGCAGTAAGGAGTCATGGGGGAGCCAGAGTTTATCCCAGCAAGCAATGGGTGCAAGGCAGAGTACACATTCTGTACCGGACAACAGTCCACGGCAGGAAACACATTCACACCAGGGACAGTTTTACAGGAGCCACCTTAACCTACTGGTCTTTCTCTGGAATGTGGGAGGAAACCAGGGCACCCAGAGGAAATCTACATGAACATAGGGAGAACATACAAACTCCACACAGATAGCACCCCAGGAATTGGACCCTGAGTCCCATTGCTGCAACACAATAATGGTTACCACCGCAGCACCGGGCCATCCTGACATTAAGGACATTTTCTTGAAAAAGCCAATAAAAGCAGACATGTTTGCAGGTTATATTCTACAATGAAGGAACATAAAAAAAGATGTAGGAAATCTAAGCATAAAAGAGAAAGAAGCCTTTCATTAAGCACAAATGCACACTGAGAAGCATTTAAAATCATGTCAGGACCAAATCCTGGTTTTTAATACCTTGTTAAATGGTTACATGCAACACAAAACACCAGAATTACAACTAGAATATTGCTGAACCACTGGAATTACTGAAACACAACAACCAACAATGATTACTCAAAAATTACTGAATTGCAACGATTGCGTTAAATGTAAAAATGAAAAATTAAGTCTGAAATAAATCACCATTGTATACGTTTAATACACAGTTCATCTACCTTTGAATTTATGCTGTTATAACTGTCATTTTAATCAGTATTCTTAATGATTACAATTAAAAACCTTTAAGATCTCTGCACATAACGAATATTATTTAGAAAATAAATGAAATTGAATGGTCTCAGAATAGATTCATACTATTTAGTGGAGCAGGGAATGATGTCAACGCATATGGTCAAAGGTCATAAAATAAAAATCTAAAAGATAACATTGAAGTCTGCTCCAAATGATTTGAGCTGAACTGAATGGTTTCTTGTGCGTGAGCCTCACCCTGGCGATTCCAATAGGACTTCAGTAAGAAGGGGCCCACTAAGGGGGGTCTTCGACACACTCGTCCTGTTTGCAAACAATAGATGGAGTTTCTGTGGATGCAGCCGAAGTTTGTGTGCTAGAAGCGACTTGTGTGCTTACTTTCAGGCCCACTTTTATTGTGGTTCCTTGGTTCGTTTTAACGGTGCTCTACTTTTAAAAGCAAGCAATGAGTGGCAATAAACCTCATACCATTTTGTTTGGGAACAGTCTTGGCTGAGGAATGAAGCGCCTTCTGCTCTTTCCGTCGGTTGCTTAACAACAGTTGTTTAAAATACTGCTTAAAATTCAGAGGAAGCTCGGCTGGTAAGTGTACAAACAACTGCAAACATGAATGTTTCTTTTTATGCACGAAAATGAATGGAAGCGTTTGAAACTAAATTGCGCTGGCTAAATGAAACGTATTGTGGCTTTGGTGCTTAAATGTTTACTAAGACTTTGGGTACGGTATGCTCTGCTACAAAGTATATGTCTCGGTGATCAGCAGTTTTTTTAATTAAAAACTTTTATTTTCACTTGTAGCAAAGTCCTGTTCATTTGTTTTTTTACGCAGCTGCTGGCTTTGTGTAGTTATTTTCCTTTTGTTTTTAAACTAAAATTATTTTTAACTCTGCTATGGATAAAATGGAAGGGGCCATTAAGACAGAGATGGGAGGGGTGCAAGCTGGGTGCTGTCATTTTGATTTTATAAATCAGTCCCCTCTCAGTCTGCAAATCAGTGTTTCCAGCGCGGCTTGTTATTGATTCTGCTCGAGGTGAAAAGTAATGTCTTGATATTTGTCTGTAAAGGACACTAGAGATATTCACTGTAATATTGTTGCACCCATTCTTGCCTTTGTAATCGCCCCACGCTGGCGTCTCAGGAAACAGTATGAAGAGATCCGACGCCAAGCCGTTCCTAACACTTGGGAAATGGGAGCTAGTATTTTTTTTTTTATTGGTTTGTAAATTCAGTATGAAGGATTCTTGTAGGTCAATTAAATCACCGCCTGCATCTCTCCCCCCCCCCCCCCCCTCCATTCAAAATAGATTGTGCTATTATATATGTTTTTCTTCAACGCACCTAGCCTATATTTTATTAAAGGAATGGGACAGATACAGAGTGTCTTTCTCTGCCACGTAGATGGAAAAAATCAGAACTGTCCCTGCATGATTTTTGCTGTCTTAATTACCCCCATGATGATGATGATGATCATAATGAACGAGAAGGATGCATTCTGCAGCTTCCTGTCATGTAAGCTAACGATATGATTAGTTGTCAGCGTACACCATAAAAGTATTCAGTTTCAACACGAATTTTGACTGCGACAGATAAGTCATTGAAAGTCATGTGTAGAGTCGGGGAATACTGCCTGATTGTAGAATCCCCAGATTTCCATGACTGCATCGTGCTGGGGTCAAAAGCCTACTTGAGGCTGATTGTGTGTGTGTTCCCTTCATTTTAAAAATGTTTTATGAGCTCCAGGGCATTTGTTTCAAATGTGGATTTCGAAACTTGATGCCTTTGTAGTTTATTTGCTAGGTAGGTCATTTATGTATAGAGATGAATATAGGTCGTTGTCAATTTCAGTATTTCGTGTTTGCAAAATTAGATTTCGCTGGACGTGAAGCTTAACAGCAGACCAGAGAATTTAGGCCAAACCTGGAAATTTAGTTGATATTGTGCAGTCTGAATTGAGAGTGATGATACTGCATCTGAGCGGGAGGGGGAAAGTAAATTTTATTTTTAATAAATATCTTAAGTGTGAAACTTGTACCAAGACATTTATTCGACTCAGTATGAAGACCGAGTCACTGGCCTTTCTGAATTGCAGAGCATCCATTAATGTACTATAACCAACAATAACAGTGCAGCAGTATTTGAGATATTGGTTGTGCAGCTGCACTTCTGCAAAATTATCCCACATTCAGCACAGTATCCAGTTGGTTTGCAATATAGAATAGTTGTCACATGGATGAAAACAAATGATGTTCTTAAGTTTGAGTATGCAACAAGCTGCTGCTGCTCTTTTTCCTCTTGGAGTAAACAGCTGTAGTCCAGATTTCTCCTTCTCCACATGCTACATCTTTCATGCGCAGACAGGACACCACTGATTTCAAACAGTCTCTGAATTGTAGCCACCCTGGAGAATGTGTGGTTTTAGATTGTTGTCTTGCTGGGTTGTTTTCTTTGAGCTTTTTTTAATTGTTCTTCATGGTGTTTTACGCAGTGGTTACCTTTTTCTTGAAGCTCCAGCCTTACCATTGATCTGCATACACTGTATTCCCTGCCTCTGCTGTGTAAGTGGCTTGCCTGTGTCCGTACAGTAAATTAGCGTTTAATTGTCTGCTTCGGCAAAATGGAACAGTGACCTAAAAATGAAAATGTTACAAAATCAAAACGAGGACTTGAACATAACTGTAATGTAAATGCAAAGTTAAAAAGGGGAAAAAAAGCCAAAGGAGCAAACAAGTGTCCTTTTGCATCAAGATGTGTATTTGGGCAAGATAATGCTGTTCAGCAGGGAGGAGGGAGGGGCAATACTAACTAAAAATACCTTCAGTTTATCCCTTTCCCATTAAGTGACACTCGTGCCCCAATAGAGGTATAATACAGGTGAAAAACTGGTTTCTTTTTTGGGTTGTGAGAGGCAAACTTAACAGGGACATGGAAAAAACAAATGTTATTCCCATAAAAGACTCTTTTGTGGAAAAGAAGTGAATTCACGTCTTCTCTAAACCTTTGAATCTGTCTTCCACCTTCTTTATTTTGCTGTAAGGTCTGCCTGGGTTGTTTCATTTAGTGGAATTAAGAGCAGTGGCTAGTTTCTATGACTTTAGGTGTATATCTTTTGTGTCTCTCCCCACTAACTATCTGATAAAATGTTATCTTTTTACAGGTTTAAGTAAGAATGTGGGGAAAAAAACAGTATCTGAAGTGTAGAAAGCTGAAAAATCTTTTAAATCCTACAAAAGAGTGCATCTTTCTCTTTGTGCTTGCTGTGTGTAGGTTTTTAATGCTGATTTCCCCAAATCTCTGATGGCCTGTAATGTTACAGAGATAAAAATTACTACAGTTGATCAACTGCAATAAAGTATGTCACTGGAATACAAAAAGATGCTGTCACTTTAATTGGGAGAGCTTTGCATATTCTAGTAGGCACCACACAATGTTGCTAGATCCAATCACAGACACTGAGTCCAGCTATTGGCTCAGCTTCCTCTGGACTCCTGATTCCATCTGCGGGGGTTACAATTTCTACTCTCCTCATCCATTCAACTCCTGTAGTCAGCAAAACAACCCAGCACAGACTACTGTAGCAGGCATCTCTCTCAGAATCCCTGGGAACTGTATCCTTGTGCAGACGTGGTGCTGGTAGCACCACTGCAGCAACACTAAATCTAGGTCTGTCAAACGAGGCAGAGCAAGCAAGCGAGGGAGAGGGAGCAAGCAAGCGATCGATTCATTTGATAACTTAAAATAATGGAGCGCAAGGGAGACTGTCAAGCACTGGATCAGACTTAAAAAGAGTCAATTACTTGATCAGATTATAGTGATCTACTTGCGAGGAGGAGGAAAAAAGTAATTCTGCTCTCAGAGGGCGAAATAAAAGAGGATTGCTGCTGCTAAGTGTTCTGCTGGCTGGCTCCTGCACTATCCCGGAGACTCTCTCCTTTTTAATGTTTTTGAATGTCACTCAACTGCTGAGCAGGTAAACACACTCATGGTAGATGCCAAAGGAAAGAACATGAAATGTCTCACTTTCTTCTTGATGCTTCCAGAGTCAGTGAAGATTAGGTCCAATAAAGGTTCAAAGAAGGGGAGCCCCACAAACTCGAAGTTGCCTCCAGCGTGCTATGAAATTATCACCTTAAAAACCAAGAAGAAGAAGAAGATGGCTGCAGAGATTTTCCCGACCAAGAAGCCAGCCAGTACCTCCTCGGTCCAGCAATTCCAGCAGCAAAACCTGAACAACAACAACACCATTCAGACAACCAACTGGCAAGGGCTGTACCCCACTATACGGGAAAGGTAGGTAAAGGGGGACATTTCTCATTCGGAAGTATCTTAAATCAGCCTTGACCTGCACCAGAATACTTACTACCAAGTTTGTAGACGGATATATTACAGGTGGTTTTTCGTTCATCATTAATTTAGTGGCACTGTACCACTTGTTGTAGTAACTGTATCTTTTTTTTTTTAAATAAGGCAGCCTAAGTTAAATATTTTATTGCATTAAATATAGGCTGCTCTTTAGAAAACATGCACCTGGAGGTGGAGTGACCTTCAAGGACTTGTGGTATTTAAAAAAAAACTAACACTGTCCGCGACAGTAGAAACCAGCCTCACGGTGTGTTTTGGATTACAGTAAATTATTCCCAGTAATTCATGTAGAAATATTAGTGAAAACTTTATATTTGATAAATGGGAGGGTATACTAGTATCGAATGCAGCCTCGTCCAGTGAATTATAGAGTGCATCTGCCTGGGCTCCAGTTGCAGGGGTAAACACAAGTGACAGGAGACCGTTATATGCAGAGGGTGTAGAGTATGTTCTGGGTTAAAAGAAATATTTACAGAGGAAAACCCCAGACTGGCAAGCAGCTCTTTGCATTCAGTGGGAGTGCTGTTGTTTTTTAAATGTATTGTGATATTTAAGTGTTTCTGGATTTTAGGATTTGAAGTTTGTTGAGACATCACTTGCTATGCTTTTGACATGTTTCACTTTTTGATTAAAGAAAATGACCCTTGCAGAAGGCATTTAGATTTCACCTTTCTGAAACAGCCATGCACAGAATTTGCTGAAAATCTGTTCTGAAGGAACTGTAATTGCAACAGTTAAATTGTCAGGAGTCAAAGCAATCTGTTCTTTGTAGTAGTAGTATTTTATTTTGTTAAAGGTTACACAATGTAGCAACTTCTTTTTTTGGGCCACTCAAATTCCATGGCTGTGAAAGTCTGCTGCGTTCTGTGGTGCCACACATCACAAGTGCTTTTCCTCTTTATTTCCCCACAATAACGGTCTGTTTCTTCTTCTCCAAAGTTTGAAGCTTTTTGTTTTCAAAATGCTACTTCAGCTGAATTGCTGATTTTAATGCAATGTCCAAAATGTCCTAAAGTGAAGTGTTTGGTTCATGAGTTTTTATACTCCCATATTTAAACAAGCTTCGATGTCAAAAGAAGTATTTCTCACCTCTCGCCATCAGACCCGAGAACTTTAGTTTGCTTGCATTTTCTGAGTCCTGCTTTCAAGAAAGAAATAAATATCAAAACTACACTTACAGTACAATAGCAGATGCTGATTTTGCTTTAAAAAATCTTCTTTCCATCTCTGATGGGAGGTAGAGTTGTCCAAGTTAAGGCCACACTGATGCAGTGTTGTGTGTTTCTCTTGCTTCCAGAAATGCAGTGATGTTTAACAATGAGCTGATGGCAGATGTTCATTTTGTGGTTGGCCCACCTGGAGGGACTCAGCGGTTGCCTGGACACAAAGTAAGCTTTAACGGCAGACATTGACGCAGAGATGGTCTTGTGTAATCATTTCCTGAAAGTAGCACATCTCATCAATGGCAGAATAAAACGGAATTACTCATCAATAATGATGCTGCGTATCACTAATCCAAATGATTTGGTTAATTATTTTTCATAATGAAAGTAAAACAGCAGTTGCCAGCAGTTAAGTTTCTTTAGTGGTAATGTTTCATGGTTAATGTCAGTTACATTTATAAATTATGAAATTATTTATATTGACTCCCAATCAGTTGGTATTCTTATTTTCAGATAGTTATTTTCAATTACATTTTTATATCTTACAAATCTTTTACTGTTCAAGAACCTAACACTTTTTAATTGTACTTTGTAAAACAATTTTAAGAACAAGAATCTGCACTTCACTCTTGTCTGAAAGAGATCACTGGCAGTTCGTAGTAATTAGTATATGAAATATAGACTATTCTATTAGGGTTTATTGTTTCAAAATATATTACAAGTGGTCACTTGTGTATCCTTTCCTATTGTTTTTTGCTCCTGGAGTTCTGTGATGAGGAGTTCTTTTACAGAGATTGTGAAATTTATATTGAAACACCATTATAACAGGTCAAAAGTATGGAGTTGCAAATGCAGTTGCTTAAATCTGTGCTTGCAATGTTTAATCTTTCCTTTTGTTTATTTGACATCTTTAAGTATTTTTCTCTGTATTTATGCGCCTTTAATTCATTCTGGGTTCTTATGACTGCTGTCTTATTCTTTCTTGAAATGCATTTTATTCTGTGAATTATTGCAGAACATTGCTTTTCCCTTGAATTATAACTGAGAAGTTTCTCTGTGCATCCTTATTTATGATTATGAATTGCTCACACGTGCTTACATGATTGTAAGAAACAAGATGTGGTTATAGTAATTGGTTTTAAGAAATTCTTTGCTGTGTAAAAGAATGTTAACCTAGATACTTTACAGAAAATGTCTTTATGAAGCAACTTGAATCAACAGCATTAAGAATTAATGCTAAATGATCTTTGTATCCATTTGGTCGCAGCTCATAAATATGTTGCAGCTTTTTATACATATTTATGTAACAGTCAGTAGGATAGCTGCCGGATATTTTAAATGTTCTTTCACATTAAGGATAAAAACAGCGTTAATAATAGAGGAATACTGAGGTCCATCGATTTTTAAAGTAAATAGGAAATATTTAGATAAATTTTGCAACCCTTTTGGGGGGTTTGATGAAGAGATTGGGATCTTCCCTAAGATTGTTGGGGTGCATGGAATTCGTTTAAACTGTAATTGTGAATAATATCCATGTTAAGAAATTCTGGACATTTTGACTTGTTTAACTGATATATTCATTCGCTAATAAGAGTTCATATAAACCTTTATTCTTTTGCCTTTTTTCACAGTATGAAACATCTGTGTCATTTTGAATTGGTTTCTTCTTTGATCATCAAGTCCCAAGTGAACTTCTTTAACAACCATTTATGTTTTCTGTCTGAAGTTTTTTTTCTTCTGAAAAAGACCATCAGGATAAAAATATTATGAAATCCTTGGGGATTATGCGTGTTCATTTCTTCACCTCCTTTCACAGTGGTAATCTGTAAGCATGATTATTAGACTGTAAATTTTCATATGGAATTTCTTTGGTGAAAAGTATACCTTTCCTTTGTGGTGGTCAATTAAGAAACTTAAGTAATCAAGAATTATTCAGAAGACTTATTCATTTTTTCATTAAAAGTGTCCTATGCTTTACGGTTTCCCAGGTTCTGTAAAGAAAGCAAGTTGTCCTAGCTCATAAAATGTTCACATACATGCCAGATGCTTCTGTTGTATTCTTGATTCATCACTTGACAAGTCAGGCTGGGACGTATGAACTGTACTCGTTTTCCTACGCTTGAATAAAAATGGGAAACAAAATGAGTGATCTCAATGACTGACTGTCAGCTGCTGGGTGGTTGTATATTCAGTTATACAAACAGGGATACTTTCTTGCTTATCTCCTGTCACCGTACATACAGTGTTGTCTGTAGTTATTTGGACAGTGATACAATTTTTTGTTGTTTTGGCTCTGTACTCCAGCACATTGGGTTTGAAATGAAACAATGATTATGAGGTTAAAGTGCAGAATGTCAGCTTTAATTCAAGGGTATTTATGTCTATATTGGGTGAACCATATAAGAATCACAGCCCTTTTTATACATAGCCCCCCTATTTCAAGGGACCAAAAGTAATTGGACACATTAACATAATCTTAAATAAAATTGTCATGTTTAGTACTTGGCTTTAAATCCTTTGCAATTGATGACTGCCTGAAGTCTGCGACCCATAGACATTCAAGACGATGGGTATCTTCCCTGGTGATGCTCTGCCAGGCTGTTATTCAGCCATTTTCAGTTCCTACTTGTTTCGGGGGCTTTTTGCCTTCAGTCTTGTCTTAAGTGAAATACATGCTCAATAGGATTCAGGTGGGGTGATTGACTTGGCCAGTCAAGAACATTCCACTTTTTGGCCCTGAAAAACTCCATAGTTGCTTTAGCAATATGTTTGGGGTCATTGTCCTGCTGCAAGGTGAAAAGCCATCCAATGAGTTTTGAGGCATTTGGTTGGATCTGAGGAGATTAGATGCTTATGTACAGAATTCATCCTGCTGTTACCATCGGCAGTAACATCATCAATAAGGATAAGCGAGCCAGTTCCACTGGCAGTCATACATGTCCAAGCCATGACACTACCTCCACCATGTTTCACAGATGAGATGGTATGCTTTGGATCATGAGCAGTTCCTTTTTTCACCACACTTTCACCTCTTTCCATCACTCTGGTTCAGGTTTATCTTCATCTCATCTGTCCATAAGACTTTGTCCCAGACACATCTTTGACAGATTTATTCCTACATCCTGGAGAGTTCTTGATCTGTTCAACAGTTGAAAAGGGTTTTTTCTTCAGGATTGAAAGTATTCTTCTGTCATCCGCTACTGTGGTTTTCCGCGGTCTACGAGGTTGTTTGCTATTGCTAAGCTCACCAGTGTGTTCTTGCTTCTTAATGTACCAAACAGTTGATTTTGACACACTTAATGTTTTGGCTATGTCTCTGACCTTTTGTTAGCTCTCTTGTGCATGAACTAATGATGCAATGATACACAGCTGGCAAAGAAACAACTGAGCAGCCAATTGCCCATTTACTTTTGGTCCCCTAAAATGGGAAGACTATGTATAAAAAGGACTGTGATTCCTATACGGTTCACCCAATATAGACGTAAAAATACCCTTGAATTAAAGCTGATATTCTACACTTTAACCTCATAGTCATTGTTTCGTTTCAAATCCAATGTGCAGGAGTCCAGAGCCAAAACAACAAAAATTGTGTCACTGTCCCAATACGTATGGGCTGCACTGTATGAATTACTGACAACTTTCTCTAAAACTGTGGTCATCTCTGTAGCGGTGTGCTAATTTCTCCTTTTTTCTTTCAAAGTATGTGTTGGCTGTGGGAAGCTCTGTGTTTCATGCCATGTTCTATGGTGAACTAGCAGAAGACAATGATGAAATCAGAATTCCAGATGTGGAACCTGCTGCTTTCCTTGCGATGCTGAAGTAAGGCTCCTTTCACTGTCACTGCTGATACAGTACCTCTTTCCACTCTTACTCCAGCTGAAAGGCTGTGGGAGAATTTGTTTCTTCCTGACTATAAAAGTCAGGAAATTCTTTTTTTTTAAGCTCCCTTGTTTTAAACTCTTTCATGAGGTTAATGGTATTATCAAAAACTTAATTTTTAATCCCTGCAGTTTATGCCTATAAAACAAAAGGAATAAAGTTGGGTAGAAATCTTTTATCTAGATGATTTAATTTTTTTTTAAAACTAATATCAGTTCATGACTTTTCAAGATTGAAAAATAGTTTCTTGAACCACTTAAAAGTTCTGCAGTTAAGTCATGCTTTTTTGTATTGGTGTTTATACTTGTATTGAACATGAAGCATTGTGTGTTGAGAATATTTTCTTAGAGATTGAAGAAGAAAATATTTTACTGATGCGTAGTATTAAGACCAAACATCAGAAATATAAATGATACACAGACCAGAACTTGCCTTTAAAGGTCATAATTGGTGTCACCTATAGTTCCCCCTGTGATTGCTCTACCATTTCCACTTAAAATCCTGATCACGTCTTGATGAAGGCTTGTTTACACTGAAATATTGAGAAACTTGATAAAGTCCAACAAAACAAAAGTGTAGCAAAGAGTGTGTGTGTCAAGCTCATATAAGTAGGTCTGCTGATTTTTACTGGTTCTCTGGTACTGGTACTCTTTTTTTCTCTTCCCTTTTCAGTATGTCTGTCAACAAGACTCAAGACAACGGCAGGCTTTTTTTGTCATCTTTTGTAGGAGATGAAGGATCATAATTCTATTTAGCAATCTTTAGCAATTCACAATTTAACATTATTTCAATAGGAACAGAGTGGTGAGGTGTGTGTAGAACAGGGGTTTCAACTTAATTCTTAACAACCTATATCAGTTCATTAGCCGTATAGTAGGACCAATGTGGCAGTTCTTCCTAGCTCTCTGGGTGAAGGTGCTTTTAAGAGACCTAGGTAGCCTGCAAATTTACAGGCCCTCCAGGACCAGGACTGGGCAACCCTGATTAGAGGAGGGAGATCTTACAGTGCTGTGAAATACAATATTGTAAACGTTTATGAATAACACAGTACTAAGTACTAAAACCTTATGTTGACCTCTACTGTGAATGAGCAAAAGTGGTGTATTTCATATAATCATTCTTTTTAAAAACCTCCAATTGTGTGGCTTATGATGGTACCCCATATTTCTGTGCCCAACAAGTATGTAACAAAACTACTGGCATAATGGATGAATTCAAGTCACTGAACTGTAGACACAAGTCAAAACTTATATTACATGACAGTGTAAGTACTAGCTACTGAAGACAATTTAAGTGAAAGGAAAGACGTAATTGCATGGAAGTTTTAATGGGAGTCTTACTTTGCTGTTGTCATCTACAGGTACATATATTGTGATGAAATTGATCTGGGTGCTGATACAGTACTGGCCACTTTGTACGCTGCCAAGAAGTATATTGTCCCTCACCTGGCTCGTGCCTGTGTCAACTTCCTAGAAACGAGCCTCAGTGCCAAGAATGCCTGTGTTCTGCTGTCACAGAGCTGCCTTTTTGAGGAGCCTGACCTCACCCAGCGGTGCTGGGAAGTCATTGATGCGCAGGCTGAGCTGGCCCTTAAGTCGGAAGGCTTCTGCGATATCGATACCCAGACACTCGAGAGCATCCTGAGAAGGGAGACGCTCAATGCCAAGGAGATTGTCGTCTTTGAAGCGGCGCTAAATTGGGCCGAGGCTGAGTGCCAAAGGCAGGAGTTGGCCGTGACCATAGACAACAAGCGCAAGGTCTTGGGGAAAGCGGTTTATCTCATCCGAATCCCCACGATGGCTTTGGACGACTTTGCCAACGGGGCCGCCCAGTCAGGCGTGCTGACCCTCAATGAGACAAATGACATTTTCCTGTGGTACACGGCAGCCAAAAAGCCGGAGCTGCAGTTTGTGAGCAAGCCGAGGAAAGGCCTGGTCCCCCAGCGCTGTCACCGCTTCCAGTCCTGCGCCTACAGGAGCAACCAGTGGCGCTACCGAGGCCGTTGCGACAGCATCCAGTTTGCTGTAGACAAGCGGGTTTTTATTGCTGGCTTTGGCTTGTATGGGTCCAGCTGTGGCTCAGCCGAGTACAGTGCCAAGATTGAACTTAAACGTCAGGGGGTCATTCTGGGGCAGAACTTGAGCAAATACTTCTCCGACGGCTCCAGCAACACCTTCCCTGTGTGGTTCGAGTACCCAGTGCAGATTGAGCCCGACACTTTCTACACAGCCAGCGTGGTCCTCGATGGCAACGAACTCAGCTATTTCGGACAAGAAGGAATGACAGAGGTCCAGTGTGGAAAGGTTACTTTCCAGTTTCAGTGTTCATCTGACAGCACCAATGGAACAGGAGTGCAGGGAGGACAAATTCCAGAGCTGATATTTTATGCCTGAAATATAGAACCTGAGTTTTTTTTTCAACCTGCTCTGGCAAAGTCTTGTTTTAATTGTGTTTACTAAAACAACTTCAATCAAACTTATTTTGTACTGTTAGTGCTTTTATCAGAAGAAGCATGGTTATACCCAACTGCTACTTAAATGTACTATGCATTCATCTGTTTTATTTATTTTGGTTCAGAAGCAATTTTATGCAATGTGTTCTGCACTGATTTTAAAGACAGGTGCATTTCCGTTTAGCTCTATAATATTATAAACTATTGACCCTTTTGTGGTGATATTAAATAAGCTGGTCTTGTATAGCTATGCTGTAAAAAGGCATTAAATATATAAAAACACTGGTAAAAGTTTACTTTCACCTCAGAAAAAACTAAGCTGTGGCGTTCTAACAAATGTTAGAATTAGCACTGGATTCTGCTGTTCGTCTTACATATTTTACTGTCTATGTAGATGTGTGTGTGTGTATATATATATATGCACTTAATCCACGGCTGTTTTGCCTTCTGAAGATACGAATTTAAAAAAACTGGAGGAATTTTAAAACTTGCCAAAAGATTAGATGTTTATGGATGTTGACTTGCCCATATAAGCACAGGCATAATGTAGCAACAACAAGCAGTACATTGACTTATAGTGGTTATAATTTTTTAACACTTAACCCTCAAGAGTACATTTTAAAGTTATAATAGGACACCAAAGTTTTTACCTGTAAAAGGATATTTGTTCTTTTAATGCATTACCCACAGAACATCTTGCAATGCTGCTTGTCAGCATTAGTGCTCTGTGTTGCATTGTACGCGAAAATTGAAAGACTCCAAATAAGCCAAATGCTTACAGACTCTTGCTTTAA